ATAAATAAAAATATTCGGAATTATTGAATTTATTTTTCGCACTTTTCGTGCCAATGGAAATAAAAAGAACATGTGATTGTATGTGTTTATTCATATTTCGGTTGTAAAGTTTATTACACTACACATATGGCATGTTTTTATTCTCTTTGGACATAAGTTTTAATTCTATCAATAAAATAAAATAAAAAGCTTAAACTGACAAAACACATGATTTGTATGAGTGTTAATATCTTTAATACGGCATATAATTACATATGATTAAATAATGTTTTCGCAACAAAGTAATTCCTTTGATTAAAAATCGATTCATATGATCAAAATTGCTGTAAAATGTTTAAATGTGAAAATTAATTTTGTTTTCATTAATCATATTTATTATTTTGTATGCAATGTTGTTGCATATTTTACAACATTGTAGTGGACAATATTTACTAAATTTTTATGATTAACATTTCGACATTGTTGGATAGTAATAAAAGAACAAAAGATCGTGGTAATTGGATCTTTTCAGTTTATGGAATGAAAGATGTTAATTGTAGTGGCAAACTAAGGCCACTGGCGAAAAACGTCAATAAAACAATTGCACACTTTTAAAACAACTTTTACTGCAGAAGACTTGTTAAGAAATGTACACTTAAGTCCATACCCGAAATATGTAGAATATGTTGGCCGCGATAGAATAGATATGGAAAATCATATATTTTATACCATAGTCTTTCTTTTTTTTCTCAATTAAATTAGTTTATCAAGCTGAATGTTAATATGAAAAGAAAAAAAAACAGAGGAATCAAAATGTTCAATCCGTTTATATTCTATAAATAATATATAAAATACATTTGCGGATGAGATTATAAACAGCTACGTAGTGTGCCCAATATTTCAACGTCACTCAAGGAAAAATTCAGTTTTCGTGGTGAATAATTGATTCTGTTTTCATGTTGAAATTAACAACGTAATTTTGTGCACGGGAGCCATTTAATCTTCTTACTAATAAATTAAATGAATTTACATTTTTAATCAATTTTCGAATAATTAATTCCAATTGATTATTTTGATTTTTAATGAAACCAACCAGCAAAAATTACAAAATTGAAAACAATAAGTTTTGAATATTCCACTCTGAAAAAAGTGTGAGAAAAATCCCAACCAACAATTATTTCAATTTATTTAACGATATGTTTGTTCTAGTATAAAATTGTGTTTCTATGAATATACCAAGTGCCGACAATGTTAAAATGTACTATGTAATCATCCAGTGTAATTCCAGGCTATTGATTAATAAATAAGAATTTGTATGCTTGTGTGCGTCAATTCTTGTGTAATGTACGTTTATACTGTATTTCAGACTTAACTGAAAACTTTGCGGATCAATTGAAACTCAATATGGTTGACTCAAATGAATTGAAATCTAAAATATATTCGATGTATGGTACAATGTTTAGAATTTTCGAAATCTTATGTCATGATATAATAATAATAAGTTTCAAGAGCTTATTCCTTTCAGAACATATATTTATTTCATATTTTTCGTCAGCCTTTCATATTTTTCGTCATAAACTGCCTGATAAATAAACTGATAATTTTAAAAGTAGTTTTGAAATCCCATGATGAATTGCAAAAAATATAGAATAAATAACCATTAAGCAAATGTTGAGCAAATATTCTTTTGTTTCTAATTAAATTTCAATACAAAACAATATATAGCTATTAAAAAAATTGTTTTAATTCAAGATCTTCCCGAAAGAAAATTGTGTGTATTAGAATTAGCTGATAGAATTGAGCTCTCAGGTCCAGCATTTGAACACACACAATTTCGGATCTGATCCACACAGAATACCACTATAAACGCCATAATAATAATATAATAAGCATTAACAATAGCTGCAAACGTCCCAGGCAAATGAAAATATTGGTGAACCGGCTAGTATACAAGCACCGACAGCACAGCGCTTTCCAAACACATTGTTCGATCCAATCAAATGCACGCAAACCAAATTATTATTGTAATTTTTGTTTTTGTTCGAACTTCACTCCTCTTTCTTTATACTGCATAGATGATTGTTGTTATTATACCATAGAATGAACAGAAATACAACACACTACATAATATGAGGAGAAATGCCCGCGCGATGACGCTATCGATTCACATTTGTATTGTTATTAGTTTACTATTTCATGTTCTTCGTTTTTTCCCATTAGTAAATTTGTGCTGCCTGTCTTTCTCCCTGCTGTTACAGCCACCATTATGCTCCGCCATTTAAGCACCTAACACTCTAGAATAAAGATTCGGTATATAGAGAGTGCAAACGGTATACATAGTCATCAACAAAAACAATAGCAGCTAAACAACGAAAAACAAAAACTCGATTGATCGTTGTATCAGATTATTGAAGAATAACTGCGTGCCGACTATGAGTGCATATATAATTCTATGGTTTGCTGCTTGTTATGGCTGCACAAACCGTTTCCTCCAAGCGCTATGACTATATTGCTCGAAGCAATTGTATTAATTCATTATAGTATCACCATATTGGTTTTCCAATGAGTATGTTGTTACCGGTATGTACGATTATGTCTCTAACTCACATAAAAAGTAAAAATCATTTTCACCATTCTTACGTCCAATTGAAGGCTGCTAATTCGACTGCAATAGAACTACGATCAATTAATATATCAAGTGTTTTCTTATGCAATAAATAGCGAATTTTCAGATTACCAAGGTTACCAAAAGATTATATGAACCAAAAATTTTCTTTCAATTTTATTTGATTGTATTTTGTTTAAAATGCTACGAAAAAATTTGATACAATCTGTAATATTTAGTTGCTATGCACCATTGTATATAAAAATTTGGTTTCTGCTTCGTATTTGCACTGAATTGCTGAAAAAGTGCACATAAAACAAATTTATAAATGTATATGTATTTATATTGTACATATATGGATGCCAAATAAAACAGAAAACCTTTCATTGACAAATTAACTCTTGGGGTTAAAAAACCAAAGCGATATATGCCGGTTAGTATTCTATGTGTGGTTTTAACTATAAGTTCTTTAGCGCTCCATATCAGATTTCTTGCAGTTTTTTCGAAAATATTTTTTCCAACTTGTTTTGATTCTGGAGCTCTCAAATCGATCAGTGTTTTTGGCTTCTTTCTTAAATCTTATCTTTAGCTCCCGCTGTGATTGCGAAAACCTCAAGAAACGTTTTTTCAAAGCACGAGTCAAATAAATAAACGAATCAAACATAATACAGTTGGAATTGTTTCTGCAACATCAGTAAAAAAATGAAGAAGTGAAAACAAATTGTATTATTTATTGCAATACATGCCACTGGAATTTTTTGGCGATGACGAATACACATGTCTCTGATGCATTTAACCCATAACATTTTTATTTACAAACAAAAAATTATTAAAAAAAAATATTTGAAAAAAGAATATTATTTCATTCTTGTTAAATTTGTGTCAAAAAGTTTAAACTTTTAAAATTTAAAAGTTTCAAATTTTAAAATTTGAGCCATCTTTTTACTAAATTTCCAATTTGAACTTTGGAACTTATCAGAGCCGAATTGTCTGTGCGATAATTTATGGATCCCAAATCTCGACAATGAGAAATACCTAAAATAAACATTAAACGTAAAGATCAGAAAATAAGAAAAAAATAAAAGCGAAATACTGAGTGAAATATTAAACCTGGAATAACCATGCTTGGCGAATGTTCGTTAAGATCATTCAAAACGCCCATTGGATGCCAAGGATCAAGCGAACCGTGTGAAAAATACCTATCATGAAAAATCATATCATTTTATCAATCTTTTTGTAACATTAAATTAAAATCGTCATACACATTTCTCACTGCTGGATCTAATGCACCGTATAATAAGTTCGTATGATTGATGTTTTCCTCAAAAGTAAAATCGTTGAATCTAAAAGTTACGCACATGAACATTCTTTTCATTTTACAAATCAAGGACATGATAATTTCAATAATTTACACATCACTAAATAGATCCTGGCACAGTTTTAAATAAAATTCGATGGGAGATTTGGTGCCGAAGGGATGTTTTTGCGAGTCAGTTGTTTGATACCATCCAAATTGCGAACAAGTTTGATAAAACCATGGCCTGAATGCATAAGCTAATGATGTATTATCTTTTTTTAATTCTTTGATGTCATCTTCGTAGTTTATTGAAACACATTTTTCATTTGCTGTCAAAAAAGTTCGTTGGAATAATTGTGCGAATGGGAAAAGTTCGTGAGATTCAATGTCATTTGTTGCATTTGCATTTTCTGTGGATAAATACTTGCAATAATGTTCAATTAAACCAGGTCTATATCCCTGAACTAATCCAGAAAAAATATTCTTTACTGAAGAAATAAAATTCCAAACGTCCAGAATATTTTTTGTGTCAAAATTATTGCAAATTTTGAATAAATTTGTCAATGATTCAGAGTCATCACTTTCAAGTAGACCCTCGAGTGATTCAAATATGTCTTCAATTACAATATAGCAATCTTCACCTCCAACTTTTCGAATAGATTTTCCAACCGTTTCAGTATATTCGAAATAATTCAGTTTTGCATTGAGTGGAGCACTTTGGAGTAAAACAAAATCACAATGGTTTTTAAATACAATTGTTAAAAATTTCAAGATTAGTATTGTATATTGTAACATTTCGAACCTTGAAGCCCACACCCCTTTCACCAAATGTGGGTATTTTTGCTTAAACCAAACTGCCATTGTTGCTGAATACGAGCCACCTACCTAAAATTACCTCAACATTTATGAGAAATGAGCATATAACATTCATTGTCACCCACCAAAATTACGCCGCCAGTTGCATTCATTGCTTTATCGGATGTAATTACTCTTATAAGATTAGCTAAATCAGCAAGTGACTGTTCAACAGTTAAATACTTCAGATTTTCAGTTGATGTTGAACTGTTATTAAAGTTAAGAAAATGAATATTAATTCGTTTATTTAATTAAAAGAATACATTACTCTGTTGGTTGAGTTTTTCCATAAAATCGATGTTCACTATAAAGCAATAATCCATTGTTCTCCTTTGCCATGTCGTAAATGAGTTGACCGGGCAAAATATGCCCTGCACTAATTTTCCACTCTCCACCAATCATTATAAAAATTGGTCCTCCCTTTTTGAACCAAATATTGTTTGTTAAGTAGCGCTAAATATGGGTGTAATCGGATTTATCTATTATTTTGATTTAAAAAAAATATACCTAATAATAATACAAAAAAGATCAACAGTTACCATTTCGAAAGTAAAATTATTTTGATGATTGAAGTGGTCCAAACGTTGTGTGATGTAGTGTTCAATAACTTGATCAGATCTTATGAAATTATTCTCAAACGGTGGCTCGTGGAAAATTAACATTTGCCTTTTCAAGATAGTAGAGAATGCTTCTGCTACCATAAATTGTGTTTGCAAATGAATAAAATTCAAAACAAGCACTATTTGACTCAACATTGATTTCACTAACATTGTCAGTAATTTTTTATGATGTAAATATATGTTTAAACAGATGAGAAGTAACGAATATAAACCTATTCGGCTCGTCTTTTATTCATTTCAATGGGTATTTATTATACCGCTTCATCTAAAGTACCCATATAAATGATTTTCAATGCATATCTTATTTTTGTGTAAGTAAGTAATCACAGAATATCAATTACGTTTTTACATATTGTAATACATTTATTTTAATGCGGGTGTCGAACCTGTACCTGATCTCATTTGTTTACAATGTAAACTTCAAAAGTCGGTTAAAGATTTGGAAATGTATTCCAAATTCATTGATTTAAATTTATGCTTACCATAATTATATTTTCATTACCTTGAAACACATTGAGAAAACGGAAAAAATTGAAAATCAAATGAATTGAATGAATATTAAATTGTTTTGTCGCACATCGTTATATCGACGTTAGGTTTTGCTCGCATTTATATCGACGACTTTTAGCTGCTTTTTCTTTAAATTAAAAAAAGCATTCATATGTGTCCTGTAAAATGTAAGATGAAGATGTGAACGCGCATGCAATCGTACAAAAAGGAAGAATGGGAATAAGAAAAACGAGACGAAAAATTCCGATATGTTGTTGAAATTTCGATACCTGCTGTGTGGTTTGCTTTGTGACGATGATTTAGTTGAGGCGCCTTGCATGTGTATATACACATCGTATTCATCGATACCACGTGATGAGCGTGCTGAATGGGTGCTATGGTACAAAATTCGATAGTACAATTGTGTTCGATAACAACGAGAACGCAGTTCCCTCGTCTTCTTTGAGTAATCGGAAATGAATTTTAGATAAATGTGGCTACAAACGACGTATTTATTAATTAATATTTTGTTTTGAATGTGCAAACTTCTTTTTAAGAGAAAACTCATGCACTTCAAAAGCATGTTACAAAGGAGATAACTGTGGCCAACAGTGGACAAGACAAAAAAAGCGAAATTATTATGATAGCCAATTTAATTTATGATGCAACATGGCACATTTTTTCTGCGTTCAACATTCTTTTAAAAATTTAATATTTAATGATATAATTCAATGTTTTGAGAATGATTTCGTTGTATTTCTCCCTCTCCTGTGTTTTTCAAACGAAATTTATGATTTGTGGACTCATGCTTAGGAAACAACTTTATGGAAAAATTCTTCACCACGTTTCAAAATTTGTCCATAAAACAATTCTATTGGTGAGATCTAAAAGAACGCAAGTGTGTTCGACTTTGTCGC